GAATGAATGAATGAATGAATGAATGAATGAATGAATGAATGAATGAATGAATGAATGAATGAATGAATGAATGAATGAATGAATAAATAAATAAATTTGTAGATACAAAGTTTTTTCATATAAATTTAAGTTACCTTTCCATATCCTCATCACCTTATTTAAAGGACCTTGAACAATGTCTTTATCAGCAACCTGCAAATTTGTTCCACCGTCAAAACCAGCATCTTGTCAGCTGGGCAGTCCAGAGACAGACTGTGAAGTTAGGTTTTTAAATCACTTTTGATCGGGCCACATCAGTAGGTGTATTATTTTTCTTGTATATATTATTATATTTTATTAGTAGAAATCATTTAGATCATGATTTTACATATGAGGATGCAAAGGCCATACTATTTATCCATACTATTTATAGATCTGTGGGTAAGATGGAAAGGCTGAGGATGGCAATACCAATAATTAAAATTATTGACTTACAAGGCAGAGCAATCGTAGCATACAGATGACAGAAATGAGTATCAACTCAACAGCATGCATATTTAAAAAAAACAGGCCTAGATTAAGCAAGTCATTGCATTTAATATTTTGTTGCTTGTAAATATAGAAGTTTATTGTCTGTGAATGAATTCCATGTAAGCATTTTTTTCGTCTCCTAATAGAAAATACTGTTACTCACCCAATAAAATATAAATATAATACACATAAACAAAGTATACGGTTTAACCAATTAGCTGGAAAAGTTTTTGCTGCCATCTAGTGGTTTTAAGACGTTAATACATCCAGTCATACTTCTGCCAAATGCGGTGTTTAGGAATTTMTTTTTCCGAGATTCAATTCAAGCTACGCGACACTATCATGGCTTCACAAATTAATGCAGCAAGTTTCATTTTCTTAGGTAATAAAAAGCGATTTATTCATAGCTTGTTAAGGAATTTGAATAAAGATAAACCAATAATTAAAAATAAAATACAAAGAAAAAAAACATTCAGACTAAAACGTTAAAAGTTTAATTTTTGTAAATTACGAGCTGACCCAAACGCATCATCCACCGCCCTCTTTTACTCTGATGACGTCACTCGCAGAGTTGTCATGGCGTCTTTGAGACCGAAGCTACTGCTGCAATTTAGCTAAAATCTGTCGACAGCGTTTGTATCGAGATGGATAAAAATGCAAACCTGCATCGGGACCCTGACGGGACTTCGTTGTGTGCCACGATTGCGGACAAAATGGGCGACGTTCCCGACGTAGGTGGAGTGAAAGGAAGTGCGGACAAATTCAAGAATAGTGAGGCTCCTCTCTGTACTTTGGGTGATAGCAGCGCCACTGATGTTAGTTCTCAAAGCTCTGGTGATGTTCTTCACAATGCTGGAAAGTCCGACGCGCCGGAGCTTATCGAAGCCCCCTCCGTTGTRCAGGAGGAAGACAAAGGGGACTTGGTTACAAGCCAGCCGTGGTCCGGGTCTGGGAGTCAGATTAGTAACGGGATGGGGCTTGAGTCGGTGCTGTCAGCAGGAGACAGCCAGGGTGGTGCCTCAAAGTTAGTAAACAACAAAACCGACGACCTTTCCTCACCTCCCGCCACAGAGAGCACAGATGCACCGCCCGAGGAGGGACCAGCTCGCGAACAAAACGAAGCGACGAAACTTGCCAAACCGACTCACCTGCTGTGTGCGGACGGTGGAGCCGAAACAGACGTTAAACCGGGGTCGTCCGGCAAGCACACCTTATCGGAGGGACYGCCGAGCGGGAGTGACCCGGATCCCAGCCTCGGCGGTGAGTCCCGGAGCATTGATTCCTTGGAGTCCTTCTCCAACCTGAACTCGTGTCCCAGCTCTGAGGGGCTGGAGGACCGGGGACTGGCTTTGGCCTTGCAGAACGAGTACAGCTCCGATGGGACAAAGACTTCGTGCGCCAAGGACCGGGCCGCCGGCCAGTCCATCTACCACATCAAATGGATCAAATGGAGGGAGGAGAACACGCCGATCATCACCCAGAACGAGAATGGGCCCTGTCCCTTACTGGCAATCATGAATGTCCTTCTGCTTGCATGGAAGGTAAATGTCCTGGGAGTGATATGAAGACTTGGTTTTTACCGTTCAAGCAAACTAAGTACAAAAAATGGGTTTTTGAACAAAATGTGATTTTCAACTTGAATAATAGGGTTTCATTAAATAAATATCCAGGTTTTTGTTGTGTTTTTACCAAATGTGCAGTGTGAATAAGCAGTGGATGTGCACCTCTTTCAGGTTAAGATGCCACCTATGATGGAAATTATAACAGCTGAGCAGCTGATGGAGTATCTTGGTGAGTATTTGCATCTCAGAAAACCTCATCATCGCTGAAAAAAAAAAGAAATGTTTACTTCTTTAAATTTGTTGTTGCAAATGTTAACCTGAACTATATCGAATGGTGCAGTTTGAAATAGATCACGTTAGTAGATTTTCAAATATATCGATGTGCTATCCTGAAATAAGAGTCCTCAAAGCAAAACACTTKGCTGAATCCTCTGCAGACTAAGTGGATGCTGAAGTGATTGACCTACATTAGGCTGGCTGTAGTTGGAGGTGTTTCAGTCTTTATCCATTTTTGTGGGGGTCCAGTCCTAAAGGGGATATGTGCKTTTAAACCCTTCTTTTTCACAGTCAAATCATTCAGTTGGGGTCTGTATAAAGTGGAACTGCGGTGTTTTTGCCTGAATTCTTCCTTATCAAAACTTTACAAGCCCCTCTGTCAAACCTTTTCTGAAGAAAAGGGGTGAAAGACTGTGTCTCAGATCAACTCGTTTTGACACTGTCTCTTTAATGCAAGGGAGGTGGTTCACTCTGCCCATTCTAGTTTGATTGAGTGTTTTACAACAATATAGTGGCCCAGAAACTTTTTATTTACAGATTAATCAATATAAGAGACTAAATTCTAATTTTCTGCGCTCCTAGACTCCACGTACACAACAAACTGCATTTAACGGCTAAAAAAAGTGGATTTTGCACGATATGTCCCCTTTAATGACTTTGCAACAAGTAGAAACTGGACCTCTTTTGCTTTTCACTATTATTTTTCTCAACTCCTTGTTTGTTAACTTTTAATAGTGCGGACCACAAGTGTAGACTTACGATTACAGTTTGTTTCAACAACATGGTGTTTCATGTCCTTTCCAATGAGTCTGTGGAAAAGCTCAGCTGTTCGTTAACTGATTTATGAAYGTATGTTTGCGTGCAACAGATCTAATTTCCCTTCAGGAGTTATTAAGATACCATTCATTCCAATATCCAAGACTCAACAGAGGAAGAGACCCGAACTGGGGAAATCCCCATCAGCAAGTCTTGTGTTGCTGTAGAGGAAATAGGAGCCATCTTGTCTCCCTGGCTGTGTCCTGTTCTGTTTAACTGCCCTGTAGTTTGAGATAATCGGGAGGATACGTTCACTTTACGCCTGCATTTAACGACAGCCAACAAAATTAGTCTTGTGTGGCGTTCTGGACGTTTTGCATTTCTTCTAACCTCAGCCTGGTTCTCTGTCTTGTCATAGAAAAAAAAAAAAACTGTACCAAGGAGTTTCAGAGGCTCCACACATACAGTGCAATCTTTATCCATGGATTCAGACAGGAGGAGTTTGTCAACCCGTTCAAACATCTTGTGAAATTGGGGCTCATGTGTCCTAATTACTGTTGCTGCAGAGTTTCTGAGGCTGACTGACGCAACAGTTTGAATTCTGTTTGGTTTGCGATGTGTGAGTTTGGGTTGGATATTCATTGTTTGCTGTAAACCGCTCTTTCTTGGTTAGTTGTAGTTAAAAAGCAACAAAGACWGTTTAAGGACTTTTTCCCCTGGAAGTCTTCCTCTCATCCTAGTCGCTTGAGTGACGTTTTTCTTGGATATTTTTACTTACGTCCGTGAAAAGAAGTTGTTGGTATTTAATTTCTTTAAAAAAACATGTGACTGTACACAATGTGCAGTACAACACTTTTGCCTTTTCCCACAAATTTCATGACACACTGCTGAACAAATTGAAAAATTACATGAGCAGAAGCTTTTGAATGACAGGACATGGCTGCAATAAAAAAAAATAACAGCTGCATTTGCATGGCTTTCTTCGCCAAACTTCAAATGTTAATCAGTAATAAGGTATTTGTGCGAAGGCCACAATATTTTGTCCTGATGTGCCGTGCTCCGTTGTGTTCATGGCTTGACTTCGTAATTCTGTCACCGTCGCTCGCTGTGCAGATCATTTGAAAGCAGCAGATTTTTAGGTCCCAACATCAAGAGCCAAACATTGACAAGGCTGTGAACTTTGCTGCAGTGCCTACTGTTTTGCATTAGAAGCATCTGTCAGATTCAGGTTCTTAAAAGGTGTTTATTTATTTTATTTATTTATTTATTTATTTTTATTGTCAGTCAATTTGGTATTATTTGTCCCGTGTCAGTCTAACATGACTCAGCATCTCTTGATCTGTCCTCTGCAGGTGACTACATTTTGGAAACCAAACCTAAAGAGATCTCAGAGGCTCAGCGGTTAAACTATGAGCAGGTAAGACTTGCATATTTACTGTAATGCGTATTCTTAACCGGGAGTGTTTTTGCTTATCTGCGTGTCTCTCTGAGCCGTAGACTGCGGAATGTGGAGCACAGGGTTTTAGAGATGAGCTCATGTTCCTCTCTCCTGCCGTTATTTGTGGAATTTGTGAAAGTTTGACGCAAGCTTTTTGTCTCAATGACACACTGGGAGAATTTCATCATCTGTTGTTTTTTTTATTTTATTGATATATTTTTGTGTAGAACGTGAGTGATCTCCGATATAAACATTTTCAGTGTATCTGCATGCTTCAAACCCATGTAGGTTTAAGCATTTGCATCATGGCAGCGTTGGTCAGTGGGTATAAGTATACAGTTGATCACAAGCCACATGAAACTGCATTGTAGCCTTTTTCCTGCTGCTCTATAGGTTGTATGAGAGGAGTCTTGCAAGACTCCGGGAACAACGGGTCAGTAGTGTCAGATTATGTTGTTTCACATGACGGCAAACGCTGAGACGCATGGCTGGGTTCAGCTCCAGGCTATCGCAGCGACGGTGTGTGGCTTACCACGAAAGGCACTTGAAGATGGAGCTCCAGCTTCTCGCTTCCTCCCATCCCCACGGCCTGCCCATGGTGTAGGAGGGGCTCTGCCGCGCTCTCCCTTTTTGCGTGGCAGCGCACGAGCACATCTGTGAATGATTTGAAGCCACACATCGGCGAGAGAGGAGTAAAAAATATCGTGCCGTTTCCTCTTGGAAGCTCACTGGGACGGAGTTTCTAAATTTAAGCTCGAGCTGAAATACAACCTCCTAAATAAATCAGTGGCGTTCTCGGCATGCATGGATGGAGTAATGGAATGGCTCCAGTTTGTGCTGCCTTGTTATTATGGTTGTCTAATCACTGGTCTGGGAGCTGTTTTACATGTGGGTGTCGTCATGTCCGTTTGCCGTCTGTTACAGCGCTGTGGTTGGTTAACACGGCATTTGGGAACTACAGGAGGATGACTTCTGTCAAACTGGGGTGTTTGTGTCAAACGTTTTCTCCTTAATTTGTTGTAAGGAAATGCGATTATTTAACAGATTGTGATATAATGCTGAATATTTTATTCTCTGGCAGGAAGGAACTGTTGGACATTATGACTAAAGTAATTAAATTAATACATTCGTTCTGAAAAAAACACATCGCAGGAAAGTTGGTTTAAAACAGAATTTGTTTGGCTGCTCTTTAGCTTTTGTTAAATATTTACCCAGAGGAGCTGAGGAAGGCAGAGTGGAGTCTTGCTCTGCTTTTGTCTAACTGGATTCAGCTCAACAAGGTGATTCATCCATGATGACTGTTCAGCCATTGGAAGAAACGGGCTATTGACTTGAAGAAACACGGGGGTTTATTTGCCGGAACAAGTTCTCAAACATTTGGTTTTGTTCTGAGTCAAACCTTTGGCGTCTTTTAGGGTCTAAAWGAGCAAAACTATCATGTTTCATGCATTCTGCATTTGTTTTCTAAATAAGCTCAAGGATAATGGACTTAAATTTGGAGAAAAGCACAATATGAATGACAGTGATGGAGACGAGAGATTCAAAGAAAAGTATTGTTCGTATCACAAAAGCTAACAAATACAGCTAGTTGATTGGGCCCGTATGGAGAACAGATCGCTGTGTGGGTGARCATGTGGAGAGAGACTGCACCGGCTGGCACAGTGCACGTGTGCAAATTATTTATTCCTTTACTCAAGGTTCATGCAGGGTCTTAAAAAGTCTAAAAAAGTCTAACATTTGAAAATCAAATTTTTAGGCCTAAAAACACCCAGATTTAAATGTAAATTAAATTTTGTCAAGTCTAAATTGTTTTTATTGTTGATCATTCCTGAGATAAACAGATTAAAGTGCCGTAATTAAAGGTTGATGCAATCTGTCTTCATGAAGTGATAAAGCTGCTTCTCGTATTGGTACACAAATTACAAATCCCGTGATAACTGCAGGCAAAAAAAGGGCACAGTTTACTTCCATGTTTTCGATGACTTTGCTGCTACAGCCCCCACCCCCCCCCGCATACGGTGGCTTGTTCACCCGCCCAAAAAAACAAAGAAGTTGCGTCCACTGCTTGCCGTTTAAACATGGGAAAGTGTGTTTTCAATGAGGCTTGGCTTGATATCAGGGATTTTTGCACTCTGTTGGAAGCGGCCCACAGCAGTCGATATGAAGGTCTCACAGATACAATCGTTTTATTAAAAATAATTTAGTGTTCTTGTATTCAATTTAAATATTCTTTAATAGCTAAATTAATGGCAATAAAAGGTTTCTATGTTAAATTTTCTGGGACCATTTGAATGTTTCTGTTAATGCGTCGGTTTGGTCTTAAATGTCATTCCTGATGGTCTTAAAAGGTCTTGAAAAGGTCTTAAATTGAACTTACTGAAACCTGCGTGAACCCTGTTTACTGAGGTTTCACTGGGAAAAATCCATATATGCAGTATTTTTTTAAGGAGGTTTGTCATCTGTTTATCTTGGCCATATTAAAAGATTTTTTTAATTAACTAACGTTGAACACATTAAGCAGTTGATACCTTTAACAGTTACTTGTGTCTGTCAATCACTAATTGACCGTCACACGATATGTSTCTTTGATCAGTAAATTGTAGTTTTGATTCACGGTAAATGGTCTGCCATGTGCTCTATCCATAGAAGTATCATTTAGCTGCAGTTATTTCCTAAACGTTCACGCTACAGTCATTTTTGTAAGACACTGGTATTTGTATGATAAAGTGCAAGCACAAATGATTGTTAAAAAAATCTAATTGGAGAAGACCCAGTGTAAGTGCAGCTTGAGTCTCATCCAGCAGAAACAATAATGTATTTGCAGGATGGACGATGTGGTTTAGAATTACATCACTGTAAATGTTTATAGGATAGCTAAKGCATGAATCACAATAAGAGTTCTTTATATTAAAGTTGTTAATRAAATGGCAACAATCCAATTTGGTTTTGCTCGGAATAGTCATTATCTTTCCAACTTGATCAATAATAAACTTTATTTCTCCAAAGTGACATTGTTCAAAGAGTTATTTATAACACACCTTTCCACATAACTCCACTTCAAATGATCCTGTAATTTGCTCATGCCAATTAACATCAGTTTGCACACATGTATCAGATATCTAATTGCTTCATTCTCTTGATTCCCTTCATCTTCATTTTTCTAAATTAAGCTTAAATGGCGATGGCAGTGTTTACTGTCAGACTTCAGCATGGGAAAAGCAAATAAAACTCTATAATCAAACCCGTCTTTCTTTTACATATCCAGTGTGACGTGAAGATTTAATGTGGGAATCACTGCACAGTTAATAGCACGTGTTGGGTTTCAACCAAACCATCGTGTTATATAAAAAAAGATAACTGCCGATGGAAGCTTGCTCTCCCTCATGCTTACACTGTAATACCACATTCATTCAACTACCATTTAATTAAATCTACTCAGGGTTTTGTTGATGAATAAATTTTGGATGAAAATCAACAGAGAAAAAAAAAAGACTCAAACTAGAGACTTGGAAAAACATGGACCATTCCCACAATCTCCCAGAGACTTGTGCTAATGTTACACAGTGGAAATGCATCCAAGTCAACTGAATGTGAGTGATTCAGAGCTAGCCCTCTGATCTCTAAACACTCTTCTGCTGTTGGAGCCAGTCAGCCTTAAAGTGAAAACATGGGGTCCATTTCACAGTTTTGCTAATCCTGCCATTACTGCTGCCTCTAGTATCCTAATCCACACACTTAGATGAGTTAGCAGCTTTTGGATCGCCACGCCAAACGTCCTCAAACAGTGTTGTGAAGGTTGCATTATTTCTTCACATTTGCTTCTTATAATAAGACTTTGATTAATCAAAATCACTGCCCAGTTCTAATAAAAAGACTGTGGTTGTTAAACAGCCATACTCAGTTTACCCTCCATTTCTCATCACCTTTATTTTAACTATGTTATGTGTGATATTTTATTGTTGTTTTATTCTTTTGTTTTTATTTAATTTTGTATTTTATTTTGCAGTTTTCTTGACAGCCATATACTATTCTTGCTGGAAATGCACCACGAAGGGCTGAAGCTGATGCTACTGTACTTAAGCATATATTTCTSTTAAATGACAGTGTAATGTAAAACTAATGAACCACTATGATTTTTTTTAAATTGGAGTTTCTAATTTGGAGCCATGCTGAATTTAACTTCAGATAGCTGAAATAGCCAAGGTCGTCATTGAAATTGGTGATCAGATGGCATAAGCATGTTTAAAAAGCATATTTAAAAGCTGTAGATGTTGCTCAGCTTTTATAGTGCCTGACCAAGTGCAAACTGAGTACTAATGCACCCCCATACCATAATGGATGCTGGCTTTTAAGCTGATGGATGTACACTCTCCTCTCTAGCCTGGAGGAGGCTGCATCCATGATTTACTTGCATAAAAAATGTAAACTTTATTCATCAAACCATAGGACAGTTTTCTGCTTCAACACTGTCTAGTTCATACTAGCTTTGTGCCTTGGGGAAGGAGACACTGTTTCAGGATATTTATGTTTGTTTTTGTTAGGGAGGCACATTTAAATCAGCCTAGCATCTAAATGTTATTTGGGTTTTATGCAATATATTCCAAGGTTTAGTGCAACATAAACATGATTTTCTAGATACAATATCCAAATATAATGAATCTACAAACTTCCTCTAAGAAACATGCAGAATAAAAGTCTGTTTCTGCTTTTAAAATAGCTTATTTACAAGGGTTTTTGTTTTCCTGAAATATTTTAATGAAGTAACCCAGAATAATGTTTTATTCTAATTTAAATTCAGGTTGGATTCTAAGTAATTGTTTATGACATTGTTATTCTTTCCTGTTTAGTATCAGAGAGTGGTACCATGTAAAACATGCTCTGAGTTCAAAACCCGTCTACAGAGAGTCATTTCTTTTGGAGAGAGAGAGAGAGAGAGAGACCTTTATTGCCATCGTACAGAGAGCAAGCACAATGAAATTACAATTCAGTTGTAATGAATAACATGTGAATTATCTATCTGCATTTTCTTTCTCAGAACATGAGTGATGCCATGGCAGTGCTGCACAAGCTGCAGACGGGTCTGGATGTAAACGTGAAGTTCACAGGGGTGCGGGTCTTTGAGTACACCCCAGAATGCATTGTGTTTGATCTGCTTGACATCCCTCTTTACCACGGCTGGCTTGTTGACCCCCAGGTGAGATGGATCTTGTTTTCTCCTCAACCTCACGAGACGCAGCTTGTTCTATTCTTGTCCTGTTTTTTGAACTCAGAAATATCCTCTCCTGTCAATTGGAGGCTGTTTTCACACTTAATGTGCTTGGATTCATTGTTATTTTTGTAGACTGAGTCACTTTTTCACACCTACTTACGGCTTTACAACACAGTTGACAGGCTGAAAACTTACTAGTGATTAACATGGCAAACACTATATATTCTTATGACTTATARATGGCTTTTCCTCCTAAAAAGACACATTTTTTCTTGGATTTTTTTTTGTACTATTTCACACAATGTAGCACATTTTACTGATTTCCAATGCATTTGATATTAAAATCTGACACGTTGTGAGTTCATGGCAGGTGAATAGTTTGAAAGAAAAAGACAGTAAATATATGATTAGCACCTATAAACTGAAACAGGGCTCCATCTCTTTAGAAAGTCATATTTAGCTCATTTTTACTGCATGGTCACTGCTTTCGAGCACTTTTTTTGAGTCAAATCAACTCTGTCTTTTTCAACATAAGATGATTTTARTTTAAAACTTTGGTATAAAAGGACATGGGTGATGTGCATTCTTTCAAGGAATACTAWGCCTTTGATTTGCACTGGGTATGGSAGGTGCAAGGGTAAATTAAATTCCCAAGGGTAAATTAAAGTGCCTGTGACAACAAATAATTGTAATACATATGAATGCATTTTTAGAAAGAGGACATTGATAAAATATTRCAAAATAAATTTCATGTCGCTGAGATGAGCAGTTGTTGAGATATTTGCCTGTGARGTAACAGGAAGTGATGTCAAAGGGGAATGTCTGCATGTAAACAGAGCATTGCTACAACAGCCAACAACACAGACTGTAAAGAAGAATCTGATATTTCTTAAGATTATTTTGAGTCTCCATCAGAGAGAGATGAAGAAGAGTCAGAGTTCAAATAATATTGTTTCAATAAACAAAGACCAGAGAGTTTTTTTTTTGTTAAAGAGTTCCCCTTTGATGTCACTTCCTGTTTTACATTGGCTGAACCAAGTTCAAATGAAAAAATGCCACTTATGTGACAAAATGGGTTAAATCGTGTGTATTATTCCACCTTTCTTAAATATAAAAAATGTTTTGCTTTGAGAAAATATGCCAAATCTAAAATTTACTATAGTGATCAAGATGTTTCATTTTTAAAAAGTTCATATTTTAAGTTTTTAATGTGTAGTCAGTGAATGTTTGCTTTTGGTGAAGGTTCTCAGGTTTTATCTGTGTTTGCAGATGCATGACATTGTCAAGGCAGTGGGCAACTGCAGCTACAACCAGCTGGTAGAGAAGATAATATCCTGCAAACAGTCAGACAACAGCGAGCTGGCAGGCGAAGGTAAGCGCGTCTCTTCACTCCTCCTCCTYTTTGACAAAGCCTGGCTGCTTCCTTTATTCTGAATTTTTGTTTTTGGTCAGCAGTAAGGGAGAAGCAAAGCCAAAGTCGGGCACTTAAATAAACAAAAAKAGGAGTTTGGAATTGATCTTTCTATCTGGAATCACATTAATTACATGCAAAATGTTTACTGCAAATACACTCTCCATAGAACCACGAGCAGAGTTAAAAAAACATGGCATACATGTGACTGAGTATGAGATGACCTACTTCTTTAGCTCAGTTTTCTCAACAGATGTCCAGAGTTATGATCAGTAATGTTTGATACTGAACTTGTCTCTGTTGTAGCCCAGAATAATATAATGCTGGTGGTATTTATCACTTTTTACTGCAACAATTTAAGAATTGACATTTTTGTTGAACATATTTAGTTTAAAAAAAGTATCAATGGAAAAGAAAACCTGTCAAAACAAAACAAAAAAAAAATTATTCATGTCACCAATTCCAGATCTGTCAGCATATTTCTTGTCAAATCCAAGTTCCTGTTTCTTTATTTGGCACTCAGCTCCTCCGTGTGTTTCTCTTTCACCTCCTCGTGTCCCAGGCATCGTGGCGGAGCAGTTTCTAAACAGCACAGCCACTCAGCTGACATACCATGGCTTGTGTGAGCTCACGTCCACCGTGCAGGAAGGAGAACTCTGTGTGTTTTTCAGGAACAATCACTTCAGCACCATGATCAAATACAAGGTAAACATCACTATTAGTAGCTGGTCGTGTCTCATTAACATAAAAAGGGCTCTGCGTCATCTGTCCTCCCAAGTATTCTTTGACTTTTAAACGTTAGGCTGGGTTGTATGTGATGTGTGTACAAGGCAGGGACAAATAAAAATTCACTCTTCTATATGACACGGCTGACTTTTAACATCAACCTACTTCAAGATGGCCACAACAGCCGACTGACCTTAGAAAACACTTAGACCAATCTCCATAAGTGCCTCTGTAACGACCCCTGTTCCCGGCTGGTTTGACATATAACTGCAGCTGAAACAGACCTTTCCTGTTATCTACAGGAGGGGGAAGTGTGAGTCTGCCAACTCACACTTTGAGAAGCACACCATTGTTGCCAACACAATCAAAGCTGTGTGTATATCCGATAACACTCATACAACACTCACATTATCACTTTTCTGTGGGCATAAACTCACAGACACGACTCATTAAAACTTAAATATTTGCAGGTGTTAAGCATCTCATGCAGTCAGTAGAATCATTTCTATAAAGTGACAGCATTCTAAAATCTGCATCTGCAATGGTTTTGCAGGGCCAGCTGTACCTTCTGGTTACAGACCAGGGTTTCYTGACGGAGGAGAAGGTCGTCTGGGAGAGTCTGCACAACGTCGACGGAGACGGAAACTTCTGTGATTCGGAGTTCCGGTTGCGACCTCCTTCTGATCCAGAGACTGTGTACTGTGGCCAGCAGGATCAGATAGACCAGGTGTGAGCTCACAGRTGCACACGAGACCGGCAGAAGCAGTGAGATTTTAACTCAAACTTGAATGCTTTTTTCTCATAGTCCTTGTAAAGACAGAAGGCTAAGMCCAACATGTTTCATTTTTAGAACACTTGACAGGAAAGAGGCAAGAATTTTAAACTAGATGAGCATTAAATAAATAGAATATTTATTCCTGCAAATGCAAAAACGGATTAAAACAAAAACCTTACTCTAATCCCAAGCTGAAAAATACATGGGAACAGTTCTAAATAATAAATGTGTATAATCGCCCATAACAGTGTTCTAATGCAATAACTTAGAACCAACCTGCAAATTTAAGGTCAGCGCTGTACCATCTTTCTTCTGTCCTCATACATAAATTATACTCAGAGGTCTCTTTTCAACGTGGGGTTGTGGGCTTCCAAACTTTTTATTTATTTATTTTTSTTTTACCTTTCTTTCCTCGTGAGTTGGTGAATGTAAAGAAGCTTAATTATAATTACTTTCATTAAAACTTTACACATAGATTTAAAAAAGTTTAGGGTCTGCCTGTTTCAATAAAGTCTAATCTTTATTTACAAGAAGAGTTTGGTATAAAAAACACCATTTTTTAAAGCAATATTCACTTGAGTTAGTTTGTTTCCATGATCTCCATGGAAAAACTGGATTTTTCTCTAAGAGGAAGTCACTGTATGTATTATTTATAATCAAGAGCCAAAAAAAGGACAACATCCTTGACATGGTTAAGAGACATGGACATGAGTTGGCCTGTTTTCGTGTTGAACACCAGGACTATCTGATGGCGCTGTCGCTGCAGCAGGAGCAGCAAAACCAGGATCTGCAGTGGGAGCAACTCCCCGAAGGCATCAGTGACCTGGAGCTGGCCAAGAAGCTTCAAGAGGAGGAGGACCGACGAGCTTCTCAGTACTACCAGGAGCAAGAGCAGGAGCAGGCAGCAGCTGCTGCAGCGGCACAGGCACAGGTGCAAGGGTGGGAGGTGAGGGTGGGAGGGGGGTCCACAGAGGGATGAGACAGAGGGATTTTAACAAATGTGTTGCATTTAATGACCTGTTAATCTTAACGTTGGGTTCTGGAAACAGTTGGATGTTTGCATCAGAGAAGCTAGATTAAGTGAGACTGATATAAATGGACAGTGGGTTGATTTTAAATTGGTTTTGTTTTCATCAACTTAAAGTTGCAGCAAGAAGAAAAACAAAAATCATAAAATTAATTTAAAAAAGCACCAGGCCTAGCATTCCTTGAGGGAAGACATATTGCCCACCATCTTTCAAACTAAAATTTTAAACTAAGATCATCTGATTTTAAAGGGATCCCTGATTAGTTGTAACATTAGACTTTATAAACATATAATATGATAAACATATACTTTAACTGTAAAATATTGCCTTAGATGTATTAGCTCGGCGCAAGCGCAACAAACAAGCTAAACTGAGGTCCTCCATCCATATTTTCAGTTGCAGKCTGAGTCATTTTTGTGTTCCCCTCTCTGTCATGTGGATGGAGGACCTCAGTGACGAGAGGAGAATGTGTAGCGCTGAGCTAATACATAAACAGATATTGTCCAAGATTAACCTTCAGGGTGGATATAGCTCGCTAGCAGCCTCGCATCGAGGACCTATCCACGTCATCATTTACCCAGAATGCTTTGCGTGTAAATAAAATGGCCCCGTCCGTGTAATATATTTGTAAACTTTTAGTTTAAAAATTATACAAACTGAACATCCTACAGTATTTTTATAGTCTTTCTTTAACATTTAAAATATATGTTTATTAAATAAAGTCTAATGTTACAACTAATCATGGATCCCTTTAAGTAGTGATAGAGGTCTAGGCTAGGCTTTTCAAAAGTGTGTCCACTAAGGCGAGACTGTCTAGCCTTATTGGACACACTTGAAAATAACATCATGCAGTATACTGTAGTGATATCTCTCATGATTTGTCAKTGATTGGACTGAGTAWAGGGTAAGGATAATTAGCTGYGTTGACTAAGTTAAATTGTGTTTACACAAAATGTTAATCAGTTGTTGATGTACTGAGAGTTTTATTGAAATTCATCAAGTGTTTCATGAAATACTGTTAATTGTACAGACATGGGCAAAGACATTATCACTCTTTCACCTTCATTGACTGGTGATAATAATAATAAGGTTAACTGGCAGAAAATCCGTATCATAGTTCAATTTAAGATAAAGTAAAGGTTGTAGTTTTGGAGCCCAACTAAGATGCTGTACTCAATCTTTTTTTGTTTTAGGAAACTGTACACACACACACACTAAATATTCCCTCACTCTTTGGTTCAACAGGATGCTGTGGAAGGAGGTGAGGCGGACAGAGGAGCAGCAGGAGCAGCAGCGGGTGCTGGGACTGCAGCAGCAGCTGGAGCCACCCCAAGCCCAGGGAAACAGCCGTCAGGTGGGGAGCGTAAAGCCAAGAAAGAAGCAAAAGAAAAAGACAAGTGTGTTATTTTGTAACACACGGCGTGCCAGTGTGAGTGTGCGTGTTTTGTGCTTATCTGTGTAAACGGAGACCGTATTTGTTACTGCGTGGACTGAACACACGACGTGCAGCTCCTGCTCGACAACAAACAAGGGAAGGGGTATCGGCTGTTCCCAAACCACTGGTGCCTGCTATCCTCTACCCTCAGTGGAACCTGAACACCACAGGAAGGGACACTACAACATAAACTACCACCCCTGATCTTTTCATAGAGTCAGCCAAACTTTGTTACAGTAGCTCACTGCACTGTATTTGTGACGTGGGGTGAGGTTTAATTGGTGCGGCATATTTTATACAAAACAACTAAAGACACGTCAGTGTCTCACCTTGTTCATTTCCATTTCATTTGTCACTAAAGCAGCTTATAAGCTTTTTTGTACGCATCAATATTTACAAAACCTCCACTTTTTAATCAGCCGTTGATGCCAAAATTCACAGTTTATTTATGTTACAGTTAAACAGGTAGCTTTTGGGATTTTTTTTTTGTTTTCTTTCGTTTTTGTAAGCTGTAAAGGGATTTTGTTTTCTCACCTGTTAGAATACAGTGTTAGCACCACTTGTGTCCCTTTTGAAACACTATTTCCTAAGGGTTAAAAATGCCAGATAGCTGCCAGACACTGAAGCTGTGTTGCAACAGTAATCACAGCTCACCCTGTTCAGATATGCCTTACCAGAGTACGGCGTTGTTGTAATTTGGTCTGTTTGAATGTGCGCGTGGTCTTGAGTTTTGTTTAGACTGGATTTAAGTGTACCGTRCACAAGATGCTACATGATATGATGGTGTGCATTGTACCGAACGTTATATCTGTAAGTTTCAGTTTAAAAATAGCCAATTTTTTTATGATGAATTAGTTRAGCTGCAAGTTTTGACCTTTTTTTTGTTATAATATACAAAAACAYTTTTTTTTCTCGCTATATGTTGCAGAATAGATTTGTGCCCACAGAGTTCAGAGTGAGTTAATAAGCCCTTTTCCCTTTTGCAGTTTCTTTGTCCCCATCTACAGGACAAGAGCGGCGCAGAATAATGTGATTTTAGAGCAGGCAGTGATTTATGCCATCACCATAAAGATGCAAAAAAGGAATACATTTTTTTTAAAAGTAGGGTTCCACAAACTTTTATAGCCAACGCCAAAGTTTGCTGCAGGTGTTCCTTTAGTTTGTTACCTCAGTGCTGTTTCTTTATATCCACATATTAATAAGAAAATCAGTTTTTGTCATGTACACATAGTGAAACCCCAATTCTGAAAAAGATCGGACGTTTTGTAAAATGTAAACAAAAAAAGGCAATGTTTTTGCACAACAGATATTAGAACGTATTAAGCATATCAGATACTTAAACTAAGAAATTGTGCAAGTTTTTGGGGAAAAAAATAAGATATTTTTGGAATTCATTACCCAAAAATGTTGTGACAGGGTCACGTTGACCCCTATGAAACATCGCCCAGTCTGCAAATGTTTAGGAATGAGCGGGAACCAGTTGTTGGAGAATTTGAAAGATAATGTTCCATTCTTGTCTGATGTAGGAGTCTAGCTGTTAAGCAGTCCTGGGTCTCCTTTGGTTCACATGTTTTTTATGGACAAGAGATCTGGACTGCWGGCAGACCAGTTCAGAACCTGGACTCTTCTACTACAAATGCTGTTATGGATGCAGTATGTTGTTTAGCTTTTTCTTGCTGAATTAAGCAAGATATTCCCTAAAAAAGACACCATCTGGATGAGAGCACGTGTTCTAAAACCTCTATACACTTTTCTGCATTGATGATGCCTTTCCAAATGCATGAGCAGCCCATGCCATAAGCACCAAGTGCACCTCCATACCATCAGAGAGGCAGGCTTTTGAACTGTAGTATGGAGGATGTAGTGTTTGTGGTTTCCTAAAAAGGTTTCAAATTCCTAATTTTCTGATAAGGAACATTTCTCTGAAATATATCCATTTTATACCCAGTCTCTTACTAACTTGTTACCAATTAACCAAATTAGTGTAATTACTCCTCCAGCTGTTTTTTTATTTATACCACTTTTACAGTTTTTTTGTTGCCTTCTCCCCCATCTTTTCTTTTAATTTTGTTGACACAAAAAACTTTTTTGTTTTCTTCTTTTTTTCTACTAAAAACTGCACAATTTCTTTATTTAAACATGTGATATGTATACCAAGTTCCATTGATTTGTTTTTTTTTACAAATCTTTTTTTTCTTCTTTATTTGACAAAGTGTCTCGACTTTTTTTTCCCCCCAGAATTGGGGTTAAATTTTTCTAAACCAGTAATGTTAAATTAACATTTGTGGCTATAACTTTGACAAAACTGCACAGGATTTGAAATCTGTTATATGATCAAAATGCTCGACAGGAGTTTCAGCACCTGCTTCAGTGCCGAGAGGCTGCAGATTCATTCATCTGGCCACATGTCACATTAACCTTMTTTAGCCTCCTTTTAGTTTAATTTTGCATAAGCTCTCCCAACTTTCGAGAGGCCTGAATCCATCTCACATTTATTGAATTTAAGGCATAAATATTAAAGTTCACAAATAAAGCTGTGCTGGGAGCTACATGATGCAAATTCTTAACTCTGAAACTTTGACTTTTCAGCTTGTGTGCATTTCACTGCAACACTGAGCATGCAGACACACGATGTACATATTTACTCACCGCATTTTTTTATTAGAAGAGGTTAGCTAGCCATTTGTTCGTGCCATCGTTGTACCACAGGACTTCCTCCTGAGATATTTTTCTATCTGTACATTCCAGTTGGATGCCTTGAATCAAGCCCTCTGTTGCAGACGGTTGTCACAGAAAGTTTAAACATTGCTTACAGTGATCTCTTTACATGAAGACACCAGGCTACCTTTCTTATGTGACGGCAGTAGGTCGAGCTCTCTGCTTGCTTGGCCCCTGATGAGGCTATTCTTTGAGACAATCCATGCATTTTTCACAACAGAACTACTCTCAGGCCTTGTTTTTTGAAGGGACGTGTCTCTTCCTGTGTCTTTTCAACTTATAGGCTTTTTAATGGCACAGTTCCTTGGCCTGCAGTTGCTCTCRGTCACAACTTTTTAGTATTATATTTACACACAACTTTGACACTTTGAAGAATTTAACACATATTATGTAAAACCTACACACTAAACCAATCAATTGGCTGCCCAAGTACAAAATGTCATCAAACAGGGTTAAAAACATTGATTTTTACACCCTTTGTGTTTTATTTTAACTCTAATTATCTTTTTTTTTGTTCCACCTCATCTGTGTCTCTGCTCATTAAGTGAACATATTTGACATTCCAGTTGAGGTTTATTGTAATGAAACTTTATTTAGGAATTTTTTTTCTTTTGGTTTGAAATTGTATGACTGAAAAAAGTTTGGAGTGACATGCCACTTTGTTTTTATTWTTTCAAATGTACTACTGTGCATTAGCTTGCTGTTCTCATTATTACCTGATTCTGATCTGATTTACTTGTATCATGTTTGTTTCACCCTGGGTTCTTATGACAAATTGAAAAGAAGGATATTTTGTGTTTGGTGTGTCTCAAAGTGGATTCCTGTTTGCCTTGTAAAGTGATTGTGGGGTAAATGCTGTAAAAAAAAGGTGATCGTGGAACATATATCTATATATATTTTTTGCAATTGGTTTTGCACTGTTACATTGATATGCACTAACAGAAAAGAAACATACCTCATTTTGTATAGAACCTAAATTGTGCAAGAGTGCTAGTTTTTTTTTTTTTTTTTTTTTGAGGGGGTGGGGGGAGGTACCTTTTTAAGAAAGAGAGAAAAAAAGCTGAATAATGGCCAGAATTACTTCTCATATTGGTATCAGTTGCTCTTACGCCAGCTGAATAATATTTGTCAAATTATAAAAGGGCTGTTAAAAAGTTTTGGCTTCAAATCAAAGAGTTGTTGAAACGTAGCATCAATTCAATAGAACTTGCTGCAATTTTTAAAAACTACTCAGGTTAGTGGTACATCTATACCAGTCTAAAGGCTACTAACACACAGAACTGCRTGGCAGCTCATAGATAATGAGCCATTTTTAAATCACAAGTATGGATAGATGGATGTCAGCGGAGTGAAACATTTTTCATTAGGGAGAAACGATGTAGAAAATAAAAGGAAAAAGATAAAAGGTTGGCAGGTGTACTCCTAATTTAGGTAGTAATTTTTCCAGTCTGGTCCATCATTACACTACATAATGTTCTGAAAGAAGGATAATCTGCTCAAACTGAATATGAAAAAGAAGCAGGAAAAAAGCTGCTCTCTAAGACGCGAGTGTTGATGTAGCAGAGTTCATTTTAGTCATGAGACACATTCAGATTGCCGAACAATCCAGATGGAGATGTTTCCTTTAATGCAATATCAAACTTCCCGATTTTATTTTGCAAAGCATGTGTAAGTGTGGAATGAAGTGTTAGGCACAATAAAAAAATAAATAAAAAAATCCATTATTCAAAACCCGAAGGATTTAATTTCCACTGTTTGGCCTGTTAGTTTTATGTTCTTATCAACAGTCAAAAAGGTGGGAGGTTTTATTGTTCATCAGTTTACTTAAATGACCAAATAATGTATGTAGCCTTTCACCTTACAGTCACATATTGTATATGATGATGTGTATATAAATATATATATATACATATATATATAACAAATGCCTTATAGACGAGGGACGTTCAACCCGAGTAGAAGTTACCTGGTTAATAAAAAAATAAGATCAATAGTTTGTTTGTTGTTATTSTTACCACATTGTTTTTCATTTATGACCAGAGGTGAATGGGTGCAAAGTTRAGTTTTGTAGCAAGAAATACGGTCAAAATGTGATGATTAGATGTAAGCAAACACCATCAAAGTTCTTACTCAATCCAGTTTTAAAGTAGACATGCATTTAAACCCTTATTTTTCACATTAAAATAATACAGTTGGGGTCTATATGAAGTGGAACTGCAATGCTTTGKTCCRAATTCCTCCTTATTGCAACTCCACAAGCCCCGCCACGTTTCTGAGGTGTGTCTCAGATCAACTCGTTTTTCGGCTGTSTCTTTAAATTCATACAAGATGCTTCACGCCCAACCCCCCTCCACCTTCCAGAGTGGTCCGTTGTAGCTTGATAGAGGAGTTTACGACTACATAGCAGGAACTTTTTATCTACAAATTAATTAAAAGATGCCAACAACAGCTTGTCCATCCAGCCTTACATGTTGGAGCCAGAGGAGAATGAAGACRATGAAATATAGTTGGTAAGTCCAGACCTTGTATGTCTGTTCCGTCGCAAATAATTTGATGTAATCTTTCAGAAAAAGTCATAGAAAACAGAATTAAATTAAACTTTTCTGCATTCCTATAGACTCCAAGATACACAACAAAATRCATTTAACGGCTAAAACAGTGGATTTTGAAAATACCAAAAAAATGTTTGAAAAAAGTCAGTCTTTCTCATCTCACAGWTCAGCAGAAACTGAATGAGTTTATCAAAAGTTGCCTCATTTTGTAAAAGGGCTCTTCTTACAGACTGGATCATGACAACAGAACTGCTAATTGAATCTGAATGTCTTTGAAATGTTTCCAGAACAGACCTTCTGTTAACAGTGTAAATGTCAGACTGATGGCTGCATATATCAGAATTTAAACAGGAATCTGAGCACACTGGGTTGAAAATGTAATTTCCCACAGTCTTACTTAGAGGTGGATTATGCTAAATCTTTATTGAGCTTTATATTCCCTCATTAAAAAACCAGATGTTTATAGTAACTCAGTACATTTACTTTGTTACAGTACTTAAGTTTTTTTTGAGGATTTGTAATTTTACCAAGTATTTTTTAAAATTGTGACTTTTACCTTTACTTAGTTACCTTTAAAACCTAAAAATGACACTTTACTTCTTTATTTTAAAGTTTAACAACTAGTTACTTGTTATAAATTAAATCTGTCTGAACTCATCATGAAAGTTATGTGCTCTAAAATATTAAGCGTTGATTTTACTCATCTAAATCAAATCAACTATTTCCACTAAACCTAGTAGAGTAAATTTGAGGCGATGTAGATATTTTATTTTAAAGAAACTTGGTTTTGTGAAGCCATTTTGGTTCTGTAAATTTAACATTTTRTTTGTTAGAGAGCGTGGAAAAGTACTTTTACTTCTACTTTCCCAATTTTTGTGAACAGTTTTATGACTTTTACTTAGTTTGCTCATTAGTGACATTTTTACCAGTCATTTTCTGTACATATTTTCTGGTATTTTTACTTTTACTTRGTAATTTTTTTCAAGTACTTTATAGACCTCTGTCAAAAACATACCCAGAGTGTTGACTCATTTATGCATATTTGAGAAAWTTTTGAATCAGTCTAAATGCTTGCTGATTCAAGGCTCCTTCCTGAGGCTCAGTCTGCACCTGAGCTCCCGCCCCACAGAGCACCCCTCCCTCGGAGCATCGTTTTGAAGATGTGCTGAAGTGGGAGTGTCTGAAACGGTAGGAGGTTCTTAAACACAAAGGCCAATTCCAAAGCATTTACATAGACGACTCAAAGATTATTTTTGATAAATACGTTTTCAGAAMTGAAGGTAAGTTACTTGATTGTGGTATAGAATTTAACTAGGCCCCAGGAAAATAGATTAGGTGTGAATATTAATTTTCCAAAGTCAATTTCCATTTAACTGAAATGCATTTACATTTAGAAGTAGACAGACTTTATGACTGAATTTTAATAATTTGAGACGTCATTCCAGCTCAAATAAGTAATCAAAACAACTCRGTGGTTACAATTTGTTTAATTAGATTTCATCAACCAAATGCAACATGAAGGGAAAACATACAAAATAAGTCTAAGTATGACAGAGATAGACATCAGCTGGTTCAACTCAAGGATCAACCCTCACACCTTTTGAAATTAAACAATACCACTGAAATGACAAGAGATGTTAAAACTTAGTCAAAGCTGACAATGCCAGCTACGCCAAAAAGTCCAATCAACTGGTTTCATATTGCATGAATCACTTCATAGATTCAAACCACCTTTGCACTGAAATCCCAAAGTTTAATATGGATGTTACTAAAACGGAAAAATCTCAGAACTATCAGCTACCAGAGCATGTATCAGATTTCCAGAGTGACAGAAACKGGAATAAAGACGACCCTTTTCAGGCCGGACCTTAAAGAATTCCCAGCTGTAACAGAATAAGGTTTTATTTTATTTTAGTGATACAGTTCAGGTCATCTGCTAAGAATGTGCGGTGTACATACAGTCTATTATTTTTTTTAAGCAAGTGCAAAACTCTTTAAAAATTAAACATCTACACCAGGTATGACTTAAAAACTAAATTAAAAAACAAAACTAGAAAAAAAATGTCATCAATTTCAAACAGTGACACATCCAAGTCAATATCTTGGTCATTTTGAATTCTATAATACACTAAAATAAGACATTACAAAGTGTAACGCTACACTTTTGAAATCATATCACTCAACAGGAGAATTATCTTGAAAACGTTACAAAGACTGAGGGCTGTACAATGTTGCTCTAAATAAGAGGCGTTACCGGGGCTGTTTATGGTAACAGCAGAACTGCAAGGAAAACTCTACACTGAGGTAAATATTTCATACATAAAAAAGTGTTAGCCTCAAAAGTTGCAAATGAACCACCAAAAACTGTTGACATTTTAAACATTACAAACAAAATTTTAGGAAAAAAAAAAGCCTTCAAATTTTTGATGCTTCAAAAATGGAAAAAAAAAAAAAAAAACAGTTGCTTTTAGAACGGCCGAGGTGTTCCTTTGAAGGGTTTGAAGCCACTCATGCTGCCGCTGGAGGGCATTGAATTGCTCGTGATCTGTACAATCCGGCTTAGTCCTGACGAGTGACTGCAGGGAGACAAAAGTTGTCTTTTAAATATCTGCAAGACAAAATGCTTCCCAAGGTTGCTCGGTTTATTTCATATACCTAGAAGAAGCCATCATGCCGCTCCGACTGTCTCCCATCCTACGATTGTTAGAGAACACGCCTCCCTGAGAGCTGGAACCACCGTGCCACTCCTTCCTCACTCCCTGCTCTCTGACTGGACGCTCCACTACGACCTGACGGCCAGAGCTGAACGGCTGCAGAGATGAATTTTGTAGAAAGAAATACAGTCAAAATGTGATGATTAGATACAAGTAAAACACCATCAAAACTCTTACTATAAATCCAGTCTTACAGTGGACATAACGTTTTTGAATTCGTCCTTTTCACATTGAAATCATTCAGTTGGAGTCTAAATAAAGGGGAACTGCAATGCTTTAATCTGAATTCCTACTTATTGTAACTCCATAAGCCCCTCTTTCACCTCTTTTCTGGGGTGTTTCCCAAAGCAACTCATTTTGGTGCTGTCCCTTTAAATGCAAATGCTTTATTGCTGCATTTTTCCACAGTTCAGCTTTTCTGTAGCTTTTCTTTGTAGCAATTAATTCCACAATGATGAAGACCTTTAAGTCAGAGGTTTATCAAACTGGCTCAAAATAAATTCATAACTTATGTGTCTTATTGTTTTTCATTTTACATCCATATTAATTGTGTTACTTGCACATTTTTTCATCTCACATTTTTAACCTCTACAGATACTACTTGTGTGGATTCACTGTCCTATCAGGTGAGCTGACCTGATCGTTCATCACCATGGGTCTCCTTTCAACTCGTTCATTAAAGCTGCTCCTTCCACGGTTCACTGGGGGGCCCTCTCTGAGATCATCTCTACCTTGCCGCTCTGCACGCATGTGCATGGGTCCTCTGCAMAAAGCAAAAACATTTTTAAAATTATGACTGCTGTAACATTCCTATGTTGCTGCTTTAAAAAAAAAAGTTTTTACCGCATGTCTCCTTTGTTGGTGTTCATTCCTCCATCGTTCTTCCACCCATGCCCCACATCTCTTTGTGGACGGTTGTGAGACATGGCGGGCATTGTAGGTCGAGCAGGCACAGGACGATTATGCATTTCAGCACGCGGAGGAGGTTCCGTTCTGCGAACTGTGTCAAAGTTCTTGGGGTATCTGTCGAAGCCCGAGGCCTCTCTGGGAGGAGCTGGGCGACTCTTCTTAGCTTCAGGTTCACCTTCAAACCTGTTATGTCTTGAAATGAAAAGAACCACAACGAAATTACTCAAAGTTACTAAAATAAAGCATAAGTAATACCYCTGTAGGTTTTCTTGTTTTTTACTGCAATGGTAAATGGCTTGAAATGATATAGCTCTTTATCAAGTCCCATTTATACACATTCATACTGATGGTGATGCTGCCGTGCACTGGGCCACTGTGACCACCACAAGCAGTCAAGGCGGGTGAAGTGTCTTACCCAAGGACACAACAACGGAGATGGATGGAACCGGCAATCCACCAGTTACAGGATGACTYCCCTAACCACAGTTTATATTCCTACACTCAAATATATACAAGACTCCTCAACTTGCTGTAATAAAAGCCCACTCACTTGTCATATGCTGGCTGTTGAGCACCAGCGTCTGGAAAGCGTCCCCTTTCACGAGGATTCATGTTTGAGAAGCGGGTCTGCTGTCGGTTGTAACCAGTGCCCTGGTTCATCCGAACCTCAGATTCAGACTGCATCTTCTTATTGGCATTCCAATAAGGATCATCCCGCCGACTAAAACATCAACAACAAAAAGTCACCTACTCTGTTCTACTGTCAAATATCTTGTTTCAATATTTTACCAACAAACTTCCAACAGTGCTGGTCATAAACTTGAGTGAGGAAATAATAAATACCCGTGTTCCACCTCCCGTCCTCTTTTAAGGTGGTTTCTCTTTTCCTGCTCAAAACGAAGCTGCTCTTGCTGCCGGCGAAGCTCCTCGCGTTCACGCGCCAAGCGTTCAGCCTCTTTACGTCTTTCCTAACAGAGTCAAAAAATAAAAAGTAGAAACAGTAGAAAACTATACACTTTAAAACATGTTAACTATTAGGAAGAAAATAAGTTGCAAATTCAAATACAACCAATTTATTTAGTGACTTATCAGATGCAGAAGTGCTACATCAAGTTGTTTTTGCAGAACTCAAGTCATGTTTCACTGAAATGTAAACTTTTAAAATTTTACGGTGAAATTCCTTTGATTCAAAATGATGTAACATTTGTTTCTAAGATGCTTTAAACAGTGAACTAAAAGAAAACTGGAAAAAACAGCTAAATTTAATTGCCACAGAAAAACTGTGACTGTGTCTAAGAAAAAGAAAAAAAAACGGAAGGTGCTGATAAAATGTGAAAAGAATTAAAGTACCGCACACAGTATGACAGCAGTACATTTCTCTAATGTGAAAGAAAAAATCTGATTACACTAACAGCCTACCAAATAAGCAACCTTTCTTCTACACATATGAATACATATATAAAAAAAGAAGTCTCCTAAATGCAGTGCGGAGCCCCATAGTTGCATTTACGTGGATCTTACCTGCTCGATGCGGAATCTTTCCCTCTCAAGCCTCTCTCTCTCCAAGCGCTCCCTTTCAAGTTTTTGTCTCTCCATCTCCAGTCTGTGGCGTTCCTGAAGCAGATGCTCCCGTTCTTCATTCTCCCGCATCAGACGGATTCGCTCGCGCTCCCTGCGTTCCTGTTCTGCTACTTCACGTCGCCTACAGACAAAAAACATCAAGTTAAAAGCAAGATCAATATCAAAGGTTTACAGTCCTCTCCAAAAATATTGGAACAGCAAGTCAAATACTGCTCTTTTTGTTGTACACCGAAGACACTTGAGTTTAAGATCAAACAATGAGCATGAGTTAAGAGTTCAGAAAGCCAGCTTTTATTTCCTGGTATTTACATATACAGTATATGTGTTTGATTACTTACGACATATCATCGTTTATATTACTCTATAACGTTTTTAGATRAGCAAAACTATTGCAACATGTGACTGACAGGTGTTTCTTATTGACCAGGTGCTGCCTTTAAGGTTCATTAGTCATGCAGAACTATTTACTCTGTCAAACAGTCTATGTTCTGGCCTGGGTTTAAACCTATAAAGTAGGTATTTCTTGTTAAAGAACCATGAAGACCATAGAGCTGTCTATGGGAGGAAAGCAAGCCATTTTGAAGATAAAAAAGGAAAATCAAAGTCACTGAAAAACATTGAGCCTAGTGAGCACAACAATTTGAAATGTCCTGAATGAGAGAGAAATTACTGGTGTACTAATCGAGACATCCAACAGGTCGGTCAACGAAACCAACAGTAGTTGATGACAGAAATATTGTGAGTTGTGAAGAAAACTCCCAAAACATCAGAAAATGTCATCACCAACAACCTCCACAAGTCAGGGGTGACGACATCACAATCCACAGTTCGAAGAAGACTCAGAGCAGAAATATAGAGACCATACCCAAAGATGCAAACCACTCATATAGGATTCAGAAGGACAGACTGAAATTTGCAAAAAAAAGTACAGAAATGAGCTGCAAAAGTTCTGGAAGACAATCTAATAGACTGATGTAACCAAAAGAGTAGAGAATGAAAGGAAATGCTGATGATCTGAAGCACACAAGCTCATCTGTGAAGCACGGTGCAGGTAATGTCATGGCTTGGGCATGCATGGCTGTTTGTGCCCCATAAGAGAATGTATTTCACCTCCTGAAGGGGAGATTGAAGGAAGAAACCCCCTGAAACAAACAAGAACTGAAAGAAGCTGCGGTAAAAGTCTGGAACAGCATCACAAATGAAGAATACAACAGCTTGGTGATGTKGATAGGTCACGGTCACGGGCTAGAGGCAGTCATTGCAAGCAAGGGTTATTCTACCAAATATTAAATATTATTTAGCTTAAGATTATTTGTTCCATTAATTTTGCTCAACCAAAATTGCTGTTGTGTAATACAATGATATATCCTAAGTGGTTTAACACATCTATATGTAAATACCAGGAAATAAAAGCTGACATTCTGAGCTCTTGTCTCATGCTCATCTTAAATGGCTTCAGTGTACCACAAAAAGAACAGAATCTGACTTGCTGTTCCAATACTTTTGGAGGGGACTGTATATTCAATAGTTATTTTACTTCTGATAAATATACAAACTGTGCTTTGTTCCTGACTACCTGTGCAGCTCCTCAGCTCTGCGAACACGTTCCATACGCTCACGCATCCTCTCCTCTTTCTCCGCCTTCAGTTTATCAAAAGACAAGAAGTTCATATTGATCCATGACTCTCCTTTTCCTCTGACCATTGGTAACTAAAAAGGTGAGAAACAGAATTCTAAGTTAAAATTATGTTTAATTTAGTTCAATATAATATCCATACTAACAAAACGTTCCTTACCTGTCTAGGAGGAAACATCCATTTTTGATGACGATGCATGTTGGCATTAAAAAAAGGCTGAAAATGGAACAAACAATTTTAATTTATCTTCTCAGCAAAATTAAAAACCATTATTTTTAAGTAAAAAGGTTACAATTAAAAACCAAAGACTCTTACTCTATGAAAATATCCTCCCCTATTAAAAGGTCTGTTTTGGGTAAAATTGAAGTTAAATTTAGGCTTAGGCACCATTTGGTCTGGGCTTTTACTCCCTGAAAGGAAACAAAATTATTAGAGCAGCCATTTAAACAATACACAAATGTTCCAGGAACCGACTACAAAGGGGAAACTTACGTGGACGCTTTTTGTCCTCCTTCTTTGCAGAATCTGGTCCTGTGTTTGATGAAACCGAATCTGATTTTTTATTTCTGGCTTCTTGCGTTTTTGATGGATCCTTCTCTTTTTCTGACTGTTTATCAGATTTCTTTTCTTCTTTTTTGTGAGATGCTTGTGCTCTAATTATACAAGAATTTCAATAAATAAATAAATTAAAATAAATAAATGAGATTCAAACAAAAAAGGACGCTTAACCTTTTTATTTTATCACTCACTTGTTTGTCTGTTTTGTCCCAGTGGAGCTGTGCTTATTATTTGATTTGTTGGAACTTGCTTTGTCCTCCACTTCCTTCTTTGAGGGATCGTTTTTGAATGGATCCTTGTTGGCCTTTAGAAGTTATAGGAAAAAACCAACCAGCACAAGTGAAATCACAATGACACAAGCCATCAAAGTTATTAATAATAGAAATAAAAGAGTATTTATTTTCTTCCTTACCCTTTCAACATATATCTGCTGTCCATGGAGTTCTGTGTGGTCAAGGTGGGAGATGCACCGAGCCACCTCAACGCTAGAGGACATCGTTACCAAGCCGTAACATTTTGAACCAGGACTACGAGCCTTCGTAACCACCTTGGCACTTGAAACCTGTTGGAAACATTGTTATGACACAAAGCAGAAAGTTCCAGTGACATTTTATGAATATATAAATGATATATATGAAAAAAAAATCACAATTTACCTTTCCGTATTTGCCAAATAAATTTTTTAGATCTGCTGCTTTGGTGTTTGAAGACAATCCGCTCACCCATATGTTACGAGAAGAGGTGCTGTTGCTGCTGACAGCTGCTGATAAAACATATCATATGCAGCTGGTTATGATGCTTAAAATAGAGATAAGATCAACTTAAAAGAAACATGTTTTTAATACTTTACCCTTTTCATCTTTTCCAGCTTTTCCATCTCGGTCTTTCGAAGAGCTAAAATGCAAATGTTACGACAGCAGGAAATGAGTGAAGGCAAACTTAAAATGAAGGCAGTGACAAGACATACATCTGGTAGAATAAAAAAATAAAAAGTCCTTTAGGYAAGGTGTAGATCTGAACCTTTGTCTCAAAGACGTCATTGTTTTATTTATTTTTTTCCAGTGGTGATGTGGGTCAAGCAGCCAATTTATTCCCTGGATCAATAAAATCTTCAGAGGTTTGTTCAACTTCAGTGAATCATTTGACCAAAAAGGGAGAAAAAAAACCATCAAGATGGGGTCTAATGCTGTTTTACACAGACGTGTGTAAAAACTGCAAAAAGCTTTAAAATTGCTGGAACGAACGGTCAAAGTAACAAAGTAAGAGTTGTTTTCTCAGCTCCCGGTTTATGTCACAATTTAACCAACTTGAGAAACAAAGCAAAGTAGTAAACTGGAGGATAAGGTACATCAGTGAACAATTTCCTTACGGCAAAAATAAAAAATAAAAAAATCTTGAGGCTACCCACAAAGTGGCGTTCTTAGTGAGCTGGACTTGATAGGAGTATCAAAAAACTGACATAGAAAGACAAACCTCTTTGCTTGACCTGAGGCCCCAGTAGCAGATGGGCCTTTCTTCCCAGAATCCTTTTCTTTGTCTTCAGATTCAGCTTTCATCTGGTCATCTCCATCGTCGCTCTTCACGGACACATCGTCTTTCTTGCCATCTCTGTGGCACTCCATCTTGTCTTTCTTCATGTCATCATCTGGACTCATCTCAGCACTGGTCTCCATCTCGTCAGTGCCCTTCTCTACCTCTGGATCTGGAAGTTTCACATGTTTACCTGTTTCCAGGAGGTCATCACCATCAACTTCTAGGGTGAGGGTATCTTCATTTTGGATTGAGACAGACAGGTGATCATCCTCTGCTTCTCTGAAGGAACTCTGGGCTTCTGCATCCATCTCAGCCACTTCAGAGTCAACCTCTGCCTCTTCATCAGCCTCTTCATCCGCCTCTTCCTCTTCATCAGCCTCTGGCTCAGCATCTTCATCAGCCTCGGTCTCCTCATCTACTTCTGCATCAGGCTCTGGATCGCCTGATGGCTCTGAATCAGGTTCTGGATCAGGCTCAGCCGCCATAACTTCTGTCTCTGGTTCAGCGTCAGAGTGAGCAAGGCTGTCCTCACAGGGCGGAGGCTTAGCATTTTCCCGACTACCACCATCTGTATCAGTTACATCTGAGGGATTAATAAGGATAAACATGGCACAAACAACTTTTAACATTGACACGTCGCATGTAACATGACCTAAAAAGTAGAATATAAAGCACATTTAGTATTAATGGTCATTGAGGGCGCAGATATCACAGGTAGACACAAAACACAGTCTTCACTGAAAATGAGATGATTCTGATTCATCATTCCTTAATTCTTAGCACATGTTGAGCCATCTTTCACGGTGAATGTGTTTTTCCAGAGGCWTCCTAAGGTTGACATTGTCCAAATTCAGAAGATAAATCAGTTCTTCATTCATCTTGTAGGTAAATTACATCTTCAATCAGTCCATGGAGATTCAAAAAATCTTCCAATATTTGCTTAGAAATTAATCTCTGTAACACAGCCAACTTGAAAAAAAGGAAGAGATTTTTCATCACCAAGTCCAACTTGCTGAAATATGTTCTGTCAATTCGTAATGGTTTGAGCATAGTAGTCCATCTTTGCCAGTCTCCAACCAAAGGGAGTGCATCTTCCAGTACATATCATAATCATCAGCAGAGTAGCAAAAAGTGTCCTTAAGGTGGTGTCCAAGAGTTATGCCAAATTCCAGCATTCTTTGATGGCTATTTCACCTTGACACACCAAAACGACTGCTTGAATCCTGGGCAAAAGGAATGGCAAACTCAAATTCATCAGGAAAATCTGAACTAATTCTACGCAACCATCAGTGTTCAAAAAGTCCTTGTTTTAAGTTCTTCTTCTGGCTTCTTCAAACCAAGATGTTGTGAAACTCATCCTTGTAAATCTTCAGTCTTCACTTCCTTGGAGAACAACGTTTGATGCCAGAGGCAATGGAAAAATAATAAGCACAACTTTTCTTTAAAACGATTAGTGGTCCAATACAGGTGCATACCTCTATCTGAAAGCAATCAGAATTCAAGGATTTCTGTGCGCAAGACCACACTAAAGAAAACAAGTGGTTTTTCAAAAATGTTTGTCCATCCATCCTTCGTAAATGTTGAAAGGTAATCACAAATGTCTGCTTCAAGAGGGAAATAATATAATTACCAGGGTTTTACCAGGTAACACTAGTGTGCTACTGTACATACCTTTTTCTGATTCAGACTCTTCAGTTTCCTAGAAAAACAAAACAATTGAATGAGAAGACATTCCTCTAATAAATTTTTTTGTCAATATGATCTGAAAAATAAAGACATTTTTCAATCAAACAAAAAACATTTAAGGTTTAAAACAGTTTTGATTATCACAGGTCCTTTCTGTGTCCAACAAGTTCCTTGCAATCAATGCTGTAGCAACTGGAGTACAAGATAAACTTTAGAAAGTCCATAGTATTAAAAAATAATAATAATAATAATCCAGTTTCTGGTTTGGCATTTATCGTGACCCAACCTGAAGCAATTTACTGAAAAAATCTTTGCAAAATAAAATTTATACAAAATTTTAACAAAATGTAATTAATTATTTATCAAGTGTTTAGAAACTTTGGAAAGAGAGCAGGAAAAATCCTGCAAAAACAGGCTCGCTACAGTCACCTTTGAAACCATGGATTCTTCTGTTGTGGTGTCCAAATCAGAATCCACTTTCTTCCCTGAAAAAAAAGAACAAAACAAATAAACATATTGATTGTATGTTTATGTATATGTATGTATGTATAGATAGATACATGGTCATGATAAGCAAGCAAGTGTAACAACAAGGTATTACCTTTAGCTTTTCCACTTCTCCTTGTTGTGGCATCAGTTGAGAGATTGATTTGAAAGTTTCCTGGGTCACCACCCTCATCTTCAATAGCCTTAAAATATGAGTTTAAAATATGGAATAAAAGACTGTTGTACACAAAAAGTAAGGCACCAAACATTGACTGATCTACTCTTTAGAAGGTGTGAGGTTATATATGTGCAAGTTATTACAGCTACACACTGCTGACTCTTTTTCAACCCTGGTAGTTAGTTATATAAATGCATTCCTTTGCAGGTCTAATTTCAGAATCCTACCATACATTATTGTGACCACAAATGTGTGAAAATTTTCCTCTCAACAAAAGCTGACCATATGTCAAGAGGATTTGTTTTCAGATCTTGTGCAATGTAAGGTTTTGAATTAGAAATTAGACAGTAGAAATTAAATATTAAACAGACATTAAAAGTTTGACAGTAGTTTGGATTTGGCAGAAAGAATTATGGAAAAAAAATTCCCACATAATGCTAATACTTCGACAGGCTACACGTTATTTTTTTGGGCTTTTAAACAAATAGTAGTATAAATAGTTTTGCAACTGAAATTAAATGTGGTCGCATTAAAATAAATGTAAATTTAGTTGTTTTTTTTTAACATGCCATATAGTCTGAAATGTCTTGTTTTTGTGTGTGTGTGTGTGTGTGTGTGTGTGTGTGTGTGTGTGTGTGTGTGTGTGTGTGTGT